AAAAAAAAATATTTTTGACAGAACTTATTTAATATTTTACAAAATTAATGTTTGCCTGACAAATTAATTTCTTTTTTCTCAATATATTGTGATGCAATCAAACGCAAGAGTTATTAACAGTACATTTATTCTGCCGTTATAAACACGTTATTTTGAAAAGAATAATAAAAATGAATCTTTTATGTGTCGATATATTTTTTATATAAACGTTCAAGTACAAAGCAGAATTTGTTTCGAAAATTCGAAAAGATATTCCAAGGGCATTAAGAAGAGAGCACATATCGTCGCAAACTAGTGTGCCCAGTCATCCAAGCATAAATTTCCAACTATGAGTACTCATGCGGGTCGCTTGATTTGTATTCGCTAGTAAAAGTTACGCCGTAGCTATCTGTTAGGCAAATTACTACAAAGTAACTGGACTGTTGATATAGAACAGGTTATCTAGCGTGAACGGGACACGCAGTTTCTAAATACATTTTGAAAAATCAAACTTTATCCCGGCTGGTCGAAATTCAGCCGAGAGAGACCCGATTATTTCAAACTTTTCTCGGCATATTTTTTATGCAAAAAAATAGGATGACGATTGCTCTGAACTTTCCGAACATTACTTTCGCGTAAAAGATTTTATGGGAGAAAATGCGTGGGGTTGCATAAAAAGTGGAAATAATTTAGAACGATAAAAAAAGGAATGAGTGATTCTCTTGAGTTTACTGATGATATATCTGCATTGATTAATTTTTTTTTGCTATAAAAGTTACGGATCATAAAAATTTTGCCTTACCTATACGATTTTATGCTATGGAAACTTTAACGTTTAGAGGTACATAAAACAACTGTATGTAAATACTGCATGTAAACGCAATTCGTTTAACGTGTGAATCGACTTTGGTTATCTATAACGGTCTAATACGGGTTACGATAAGGGAATCATCGTAACTTTTAAATAATATTCTAAATAATCCACTTTACGTCGCAAATTATAAAGAAAAAGAACTAAAATTTCAAGAGCCTTTTATCCTCTTAAAACAAACTCTGCAAACGATGCACCTTTTCAGAATAGTCCAATATCTTTTTTTTTTTTTTACGATCGCGCGTTGCCTCGCTTGGCTCTTGACTGTAGTCCATATCTATTTCCGCAAAACCATAAAATTGCGGTGCTCCCATTCTCGTACCCTGACTGTACAGATAAGTGGCAGGATTCAGAGCCCTTATCCATAAGATGCACCGTCAACGTCTCGATAATCGCGAGAACCGCATTAACCGACCGCATCCGTAAGATGAGTTTAGATCGTTTATCACTGTAATTGATGCAACTAGCTTTCGCAACTTAGGAACAGTAAATAATCATGAAGCTGCAACGCAAACACGAATACTCTCGTGTAATAATATCATTCTGATAAAACAGAGTGTCCGCTAATATGTAAAAGTTTTATTTAACGTTAAATTTAATCTTTCTTCTCGCGACAAGTCATTAAATATCGCAATCTTATAACGTGCTGCAAAAAAAGATTTTGTGGTTTTCTGTAACAGTAATAATAAGTGTGTTATGATCGTGCGTACAGGTGACACAGTCGCATGCCGAACGAGTTATATTTAGTCATTATATATCGGGTCAGTCGTGTTTCTTCGTAAATTTAACGATTTTGTCGGTAGACGTGGGCACGTCCCGAAATGATGTACGGTTCGCTCGTATGAGTCGGCAGCTAATGCTCTAATATGCGCAAAGGGTGCCATGCCCGTGTCACGCGGATTACCACTAATTGTAGTTTATGCTTTATACTACGCTATTCTCTTGTACGGCCGTTGGGTATTCGATGTATTAACGGAGATCTGCGCGTGTGTGGATCCGCACACTGGAAACCGAGCGCGTATCTACATATCAGGCGCGTGAAGATACGTGATAGATCGCGTACGCGTACGTGTGATAGTGAACGTATATCAATATGGTAGAGGTTCCCAAATTTTGTGTTCATTAGTCCTAAGCTTGACACGATCTCATATCCTCTTTCATTATCTAAGAGAATTCTTTGTTGATAACTGGAGGATTTGTGTAAATTAGATTCATCACGCTGTAAATTTATTGAAGATCGCGATTTTAATTGTTTTTATTACAATGAGTTGGATTAATTTTGTTTTTTGTACAAATATTGCATATTTTCTGAGATTGTATTATGACTGCAAGTTAGATATTGATATTTTTAATGTTATTTCTTATGTAAATTTATCTCCTTTAAAAAGATTAAAATAATTTTTTGTATTAACAGCAACTATCAATAACAGAAGATTAATTTACATGGAATATGAGAACTCGAAAATAATTATTATGTTGATCACGTTATACAAACAGAACGACTGCAAAAGGTAAGGGGTTTTGGAATTGATCAAATGTAATTATCATATTTGATAATATTGCTTAATAGGACAATGCGATTGCCCGCATATTTATACATATGCAATATTTACCTTTGTATATCGCAATGTTATCGCTACTACAAATTTTCCAAACAAATTCAAAGTTATCCCGTGTGTTGTGCGGATATAAAACGTCTGGTTTCCCAGAAAGAGCCAGTAGTTCTCTGTGAAAAAGAAAGCGATGTTTTCTGGTACAGCGAAATTAGCGTAGCCAAGAAAATGATTAGTGTAATGCGACACATGAGTGGTTGAGCATTGCTGCGATGCTGCTGCACACGCGGGATGAACAGGGAGCTCGGACTTCCTCGGCTGTCATGTCCGCGCGTCCG